TCCTATTATATCGATATTATTGTGTTTCGTGTTCTGCAGTTCTCTTAACACCTCTTTGTTCTTTGAGTCTTTTTCCTTTACTTGCTCTTTTGGGGAGTTTTTTCTACTTTTCCTCCAGGTCACTGATTTGATCCTCTGCTTCATCAAGCCCAGTCTTGATTCCTTCTACTGTGTTCTTTAATTTAAAAATTGTATTTTTCATTTCTTCTTGGCTCTTCTTGATTATTTCTATGTCCTTTTTATGCTGATATAGTTTTCAGTAATTTCCTCAGTTTCCCTGTAGGTTTTGGTAATTCACACTGAATTTATTGAGCTTCCTTATAATCATTGTTTTGAATTCAATATCTGATAGTTGACTTGCTGCTATTTTATTTAGCCCTCTTTATGAGGATTCTGCCTTTCCTTTCATTTGGAGGTTGTTTCTTTGTCTTCCCATTTTAAGGGAGATTCTTCTTGTTTGCTTCTGTTTCTTAAATTGAACTGTTTTGACTTTCTGACTTTGTAGTGTGAACTTCTATGGGGGAGGCCTGTGAGATACAGTGGTGCTATCTCCTTGATCACCCGAACTTGATGCTCTTTGGATGACCTTTATGCCTTTTATTTTGATTTTCTGGATGTAATTGAGTTTTGATTGCTGTTGGGTTGTTCTTTCATGAGTCCTTCACAGCTGCTGGTTGACTGAGGGTCACTTCACCCTCCATGTCTTGTGTGGGTGCTGACTGAACCAAACCACAGAGCCCAAAAAACAAACCCACACCCAGAAATATAACTCCCACACACAATCCCACTATCAATAGCAAATGAACTGGTATTAGTAAGGGTGTAATGAGAGTAACACTATTATAAGGAGAGTGGATATAAGGTGACCTCCTGAAAGAGAAATGATTTTGAGAGGGTAGAGGGAGGAGCACTAATAAGTGTTGGGAGTTGGAGCAATGGAAAGAGAGAAGGTAAAATTTACCTCATGATAAAAAAGGGAATGAGGAGTGTGGAATGAGTATGAGAAGGGAAGTATACTTTCCTATATTAGGTTTAAACAGAAGTTAAAGTAATATACTATAAAATAAATTAAGAGAGAGAAATAAAAAGGATGGAAAATAGTAAATAATTAAGAAGAATATAGGACCCAAATCGGAGAGAAAGATCCTCCACAGTACTATCAACAAGAAATAAGCTAAAATTAATATGGGAGGTATGGGAATAAGAGGGAAAAGAGAAAAAAGTCTAAGAGATGTTTAAAGGAATGGGAAGTGATTTTGAAATTATAGAGGGAGAGAGAATACTAAGAGTGAGGAACTAAAACCACAATAAGTGAGGGAAAAATTAAAATTTGGGATGTAAGGAAAAAAAAAAGAAAAAAGGGAGAATAAAGAAAAATAAAAGGCCATGGTGAAAGAAGAATAGAAAAAAGACAAAAAAGAAAAATAAAATAACAGGCTAAGATGACAAAATTAAAATTTGAAATGAAAAAAAGAGTAGGAGAGGGGCCCAGTAAAATTGGATATTTGAAATACACAGTTAGTGAAGCTCTACAGATAACCTTGAAAAAACAGTGCAATAATAATTGCCCTACCCACAACCAACTAGCAAACTTTGTTAAAGGTGTAGAGAGGTATTTTAAGAAATGGGCAAAAGGATGTGAAATGATTCTTGACAAAAAAAAAATTTATTTTGAGTGTCTGGACAGGGGAGAAATAGTAAGAGTGTGGAATGGAAACAAGTTGTAGCTAGAGAGAAGACCAAATTTGAAATGAAAATATTGTGAGGAAATAAGAAGGTAAAATGGGCTAAGAGGAAGGATGGGCAAAATATGAGAATTGAAATACACTATAGTATAAAATCTGGTGACTTGATATATGCAAACTTGCTAAACAAGAAATGAATGTTGTAAAGCTCTGCAGGAAAGAAAATATCGCAAATCATAAAGACCACAGTGGCTTTCATCTGGGTAGCCTCTTATATTTACTGCTGTTTTTTTTTTTTCTTTCTGGATCTGCCTTGGGTAATGTCAGATGTTGACCCTGTCTGACTTTAGGCAGCCTGTTTGATACTTGCAATGATCTGCTATCACTGGCTGTCTCCTTCAATTGTTAATCTGATCACTCTGTCTTAAGCAGTCAGGTTTAAACTCTGTAGGGCAGGGCTGAAACCCTCTTGTAGTGGGGGCTATTATTTGCCTTTGGCTGTTACTTCTGGGAGGGGAGTGGTCTACCTGAGCAGGATGGTTGCTGTGTACGGGAGTGGTTCAGCACCAGATCCTGGCGGCTACTCTTGGTTCTCTCCCCAAAGCCTCCATCCCCAGTCTTTCCTCAAGAACCTCTAGTCCACTCTGCACTCCCTTTGCCAGTGATCTACTGTCTTTGGCTATCTCCTTCAGTTTTTCATTTGGTCACTAGGACTCAGCAGTCAGGCTTAAATACCAAAGGGCCAGGGCAGAGACACTCCTAGGGTTGGGGCTATTGTCTCCCCTCAGGCTACTATGGCTCGGAAGGTAGTAGTCTGCCTGAGCACAAAGGCTACTGCCATTTGAGGGATTACTCAGCACCAGGATCCTGGAGGCTCCTCTCTCAGTTCTCTCCCCAAGGGTTCTATCCCCTGTTTCTCCTCAGGCATCTCCTGCCCATTCTTACCCACCTTTGCCTGAGCCCGGGGTAAGTGGCTTCAAATGAAAATTTGTGTTTTGGCCCTTTAAACAGCCCTTGCATCTCCAACCATCTGTCTCCGGCAGAGAGCAACCCTGCCACTTTTCTCAACTGAATGTTATCTGTGTACTTTTGGGGCTATGGTGCTCTAGGCTGGGAGTCCTAGCTTAGGGTTTAGACCACAATCTTCTCCAGAGGATGCAACTGGCCACTTAATTATCCCACCAGTGCTGCTGCCTGTGGGTGCCCAACCAGTCTTCTTGAGTTCCCAATGCTCTTCTTACCTGACAGGTTGTGCCAAAGCTGGTTCTTCTGTCTGTCCAAAGTTATATACTTTTCTCTGGCTATTGCTCTGTTGTTTGTTCTGGGTTGTTTCTCCACAATTAAGCCATAATTCCAGTTTGGCCCTGGGAGGAGGTCAGCATGATTTCCATTCACTCCAACATCTTCCCTCCAAGAGAATTTTTTTAAGCTTAATAGTAAGGGAAATAGGCATCAACTAGTTTTGGTAACTGAATTATGAAAATAAAGTTCATTGCTAATAAATGTTACTAGTAATTGCTAAACTCTGGACTCAAGACTTACCATAGTCATGCCCTAAAATTTCTTTGTGTTGTTGTTTTTTAATTTACTGATGGGCACCTAGGCTGTTTCCAGAACTTGGCTGTTGTAAATTGTGCTGCTGTAAACATTGGGGTGCATAAGTTCTTCTGAATTGGTGTTTCAGTATTCTTAGGGTATAATCTGAGCAGTGACTTGCTGGGTCAAAAGGCAGTTCCAGTTTTAGGAGGTTTTTTTGAGGAAATTCCATACTGTTTTCCATAGTGGTTGCACTAGTCAGTCTGCTTTCCCACCAGTGGTCTACTAGGGTTTTCTTTTCTCCACAACTTCGCCAGCAATTGTTTGTTGATTTGGTTATGATAGCCATTCTGACCTGTGTGAAGTGATATCTCATTGTGGTTTTAATTTGCATCTCTCTGATGGCTAGTGATGTTGAGCATCCTTTCATATGTCTCTGTGCCCTCTGTATGTCTTCCTTGGAGAAATGTCTGTTCAGGTCTTTTGCCCATGTTTTAATTGGATTGTTTGTCTGCCTGGTGTGGAGTCATGTGAGTTTTTTATGTATTTTGGGGATCAAACTCTTGTCTGAAGTATCATTAGTAAATATATTTTCCTACACTGTTGGTTTCCTTTTCATTTTGCTGATGTTTTCTTTAGCTGTGCAGAAGCTTTTTAATTTTATGTAGTCCCATTTGTTTATTTTTTCCTTTATATCCCTTGCCCTATGGGATATATCAGTGAAAATACTTATGCATGGGATATCTTAAGTTTTCCTGCACATATGTCTCCTATAGGAGCCTCCTAAAAGTCTCCTCTAATACTTTTATGGTGTCACGATTTATATTTAAATATTTATCAATCTTGAGTTTATTTTTGTTTATGGTATATGTTAGTAGTCAAGTTTCTTTCTTCTTCTTTTTTTTTTTTTTTTTTTTTTTGCATGTAGCTGTATAGACCTCCCAACACCATTTGTCGAAAAGGCTATTTTTACTCCATTTTATGCTCCTGCCCCCTTTGTTAAATATTAATTGACCATAAAGACATGGGTTTATTTCTGAGCTCTCTATTCTGTTCCATTGATCTATGTGTCTATTGTTATGCCAGTACCAGGCTGTTTTGATTACAGTGGCCTTGTAATATATTTTCATATCAGGTATTGAGATCCCTCCTACTCTGTTGTTCTTTCTCAAAATTGCTGAGGCCATTCAGGAGGGTTTGCTAAGGTTTATTAATTAAAATTGCTACAATGCCAGAAATTTGAAGAATTTAGTGTTTTATTATAATAAATTTTAAGTATCTACTTGAGATTTGCAAGAGTATGCTTTTAGATTTTAAGAGCTTTAAGGACTCACATAAATCTTTATTTTCTAGAAGTGTAAAAACTGAGGCCAAGAATTGGTTAATGTTGCTTGATTGGTTAATGGCACAGTATTGAATAAGGATTTGAACCTGGGTCCTCAGAAATCCATTCTACTATGTATATACAAACCTGTGTCTGCATGCTTATAGTAATTCCCTGTTTCATTTATTAGTAAAAGTTATTGGCACTTTAGTGAACAGAGGTGTGGGGGAACAGAGGTGGTAAAGGACAAAAGAATGGGCAGGGGCAAGTCAAGGAACATGGATAGAGGATTCATGGGCATGGACTATGGGAAGGGTTGACTGTGGGAGTGGTGGGGATGAGGCAAGGGAGAAAAATGGGGAAAAGGTAGGAGAACTGTAACTGAACAATAAAAAATGTAATTTTAGTAACTAAAATAAACTTTTTCTTTCTTTTTTTAAAAAATTATCTTTCAGTTTCCCTTTCAAGATAATCTCTTTCAATCCATTTATTACCCTCTTCAGCTAAAGTTTTTGGAAACTGTGCACACTTTATGTGGACGAATCCCACAAGTTTTTCTGAAGCAAATTGAGAAAACAATGAAAAGGGCTTATGAGAAGCACGTCATCATCCATGTTGGTTCCAACCAGATGTACTGAATGTTTCATCTTATTGCAAGTCAATTAGGCATCTCATGAATGAGGAAATAGACATTTTCAAGCTGCCTGCATCTTCTTTGTGTGAATATTTAATGGTGCTCCATGAAAACTGAGTTTTAAAAGCCTTGTCAAATATTACTAAATTAGTTGCTCCTATAAGTAAATATGCTTTTGTGTTTTCTAAATGTTATTTATCTTTGTCATATATATATATATAATTACTCATTTGTCATTGTTCAAGCTGGTTGAGCTAGCTGTGAAAAGAAACTTTTGTCAGTTTTCCAATTTCTGTTCAATGTCTGAGACAATATCAGTGGCAATTGTGATATATTTATATTATATTCCTTCAACTCTTTCTAACCAGTTGGCTTCCCTGTACCTGTGTAATCAAAATAATGCATGCTTGTTGTAAAACAAATTTTAAAAATTTATCAAGAATATGGTTCACTGAACCAAAATCAAAATTAGATTAGCCATAATCCTACTGACCAGTGAAAAAGATTGTTATTTTAATATAGTTTATTCTAGGTTTTTTCCCTATTTCTAGATTTACTTGCTTGTTGTCTTTTCCACTCTGACACATATCTAAAATAGGTAGTTTGAGTTAAAACTGCCCCCTATACTGAGATTTTTACATAGGAGACTAACAAGTTAGACAAAATGATTATGTTTACAGTATTTTATTTAAAACACATCCAGAGAAGCATTTGGGTTTCAGCTAAATGGGCAGTGTTAAAGAATGAAGCATATCTGAGAGTGTTTCTCTAAAAAAACTTGTTTAGATTTGTAGAAGACTAAATCATAAGTATTCCAAGTCATGAAAGATAAGGACCTACATCCAAGATTGCTCTATCCAGCAAAGCTTTCACTTAGAATGGAAGGACAGATAAAGTGCTTCTCAGATAAGGTCAAGTTGAAGGAGTTCATCATCACCAAGTCCTTATTTTATGAAATGTTAAAGTGACTTATGTAAGAAAAAGAATATAAAAAAACATATATACTAAAATGACAGCAAACTCGCAATTACTAACGACCACACCTAAAATAAAAATAAACTAAGGAAACAACTAGAACAGAAACAGAACCATAGAAACGGAGATCACATGAAGGGTTAGCAACAGGGGATTGGGAAGAGGAGTGGGGGAAAAGTACAGAGAATAAATAGCATAGATGGCAGGCAGAAAATAGAGAGGGGAGGGTAAGAATAGTATGGGAAATGTAAAAGCTAAAGAACTTAAGACACATGGACATGAACTAAAGGAAGGGAATGTGGGAGGGAGAGGGTGTGCAGGGTGGAGGGGAATGAAGGGGGAAATGGGACAAATGTAATAACATAATCAATAAAAATATATTTAAAAAATAAAACAAAATAAAAAGAAATGTCTATGCAACCAGACCTCTTGGAAGACAATTGAGTAATTGTGTTACACCTAAGAGGTTTGTTTAGCAGAGATAGAATTTTGTATTTGCCCACAGACAAAAACATTTTATCTCTTATATCATCAGTAGGTATGACCTCCTCTCTTTAAACTCTTGGGCAACTTTGAATTTAATCTGTACAACATAAATAGTTAATCTGATTGATTCATTGACCAGAAAATTCAACTGCCTACCAGCCTTAGAAAGGTCTCTTTAAACTTTTTTTTCCTCTAGGTTTACCCAGCTTTTAGCATAAGAATGAGGCAGGTCTTATCACCTAGCTATAGTATGGGAGGTTCTATATTCTATTCCCCAAAGGGATCTGACTTGATCCTAGTTACTCATGTAGCTGATATCACCATAAGGGTGTTTTGCATAATGCTTTATTTACCTCAAAAAACTTGGGCATAAATGATCTCTTTGATGTGTGTAACAGCCCTATGAATTTAGTAAGGACCTGTATTATCTCCACTGTCAAATAAGTAAACTGTAATATAAAGAAACAAACATACCCCATATATTTGCTCTTCTACAAAATGTAGAGATATATATAAGATACATCTTGTTTTACAGGAAAATATTTGGAAGAAAATATTAAATGCTTTTCATTATATGTAAACAACAACCTGAAAATAAATAATTAAAATATTATTTTCTTAATATAATGTAGTATCTTATATATGGGAATCCAATAGGACATCATAGTTTCTAAATCAGCAGAAAAAAAGTCTTACCCTGAAAAAATAAGTAAAAATTTCAGCAATACAAATACATATACAAATATGTATAATATATACATATTAATCAATATTGGTATGTAGTACCATTATGATAGTAACAAATTTAAATACAAACTGTTACAGTGATAACCTGTATTTCTGGTTTTTTTTTTTTGATTCTCTGGGTGCCTTGTGGTTTACTATTATTGTTAAGGAAGTTACTATCTTTGTTGTTGTATTTTATGTTTTATCATTTCACCATATTTTACCACTAAATGTGACATCATTCATCATTTTATATCTGAAGAATGTGGGGTAATTTTTGGACTTTTTTTTTGGATGGGGAAAATGCATTCTATATACCCACAAATAGGATTTTAGTATAAGAGCCAGGGTGTGAACATGACTCCCTGACTTCCATCACAATTTTCTTTGTATTTATTCAGCATGGCCACTAAAACCTACAAATGTCATTTAGGTTTGTTGGTGGCTCACAGACATAAAGAAGTTACTTTATTCCTTTGGCAAAACCCAAAAAACTGCTATAAAGACTTTTAATACAGTAATGCCTTTTTATGAGAGCCAGGTTTACCCAGAACTCCCAACTGTTGATTCTGGTCTTAACCTGCAGAATAGGATTTCCAGCAAAGGTCAATCATAGAACTCAAGAACATTCTAGAATGATGTATGATAAGGATGTAAAATCTTAAAATTTGGTGTGGTTTCCTGCCTTGGAATTTTTTTTCTCTATCCTGAAATTTTAGATAGCATGATGGAGAATTTAGAGAAAATTTGCTCTCCCATTTCCTGCTGCTTGATGTTATTATTTTCTATAGTTAGGATGTTACCATTAGGTAGAATGTTCTCTGCCTTTGAATCCCAGGAAACTACTACATTAGTGCCTTGGAAATTTGGTAATTGCAAATTTTAATTCAGTGGACACCTAATACATGTAGTCTGCAGTCTGTGTTTTGCCTAATATACCACATTGAATCTATGGAAAGGGTATGAGACTGGTTCTCTCCTCCCTTTTCCTGTCCTGTCCTGTCTTCTCCACTTCTCATTTACTTTAAAGTTATGTTTAGTGCATATGACTATGAATTCCACTGGACAATGAAAAACACTTTCTTATAGCAAAATGTGACAACATTTTTGTATGCGTTGAGATTTAGATTTTTACTAGCTGCATAACTAAAAATCCTGAAAATATTTTTTCTTGCTGAATTTTTTCCCAATGGATTTCAGAATTTGTGACTTACATTGGAAATTCCAATATTTAAAAAAATCGACTAGCTAGTGAATCTATTTAAGCTTTCCTTTACCTTCCAAAATGACAATTTAGCATTTAGGGTATAATGCTTCAAGCATTACTATTTATTTGAGATTTCTATTACATTTTCAATGATCCCATTGTAAATTATTACTTTTACTGCATTTATTATTGAAATGGGTATTTGGACAGACTCATAGCAATTTCAGAATATTTATCTTATTACAATTATGATTTCATAAAACAAAACATAAAAACCTTATTCAAAGTCATAAAATAGTGATCCAATAATGGAATAACCACTTCAAACTGTTACAGGGTGCAGCCAAGAGGGGGCCCCAGAAAAGGATTTGAGATGAGGTCCAGAGTTCAGGGTGTCCAGGAAATATTAAGATGTCCTCACCACCCCCAGGGGGGGAGGGACAAATAGAGCCAGGGCCATTGAGAGCTGTTTTGCATAGCAACAGTTTTGCAGCTAACCTCTGGAATGATTATTTAACATATCTATAACCTTTAACTGGTTTCATAGATATGTTAAATAGCTGTGGCCAAGTTTTGAGCCAGGAAGAAGGGAGTGGCTTCTACCCAAGATGTAACTAGGGGCTGCGCCCCTGAGGGAGAGCGCCTGTCTGAGAGCTTGGAAAAAGATTGGCTCCGGGACATGAGGGGATAACTGCCCAGGTGAGGAGAGGGCCACACGGTTTGGGTCAGAGTGAAAGAGTACCACTCGGCTTTGCCAGAATGGAGATCCCTGCAGCCAGGTGAAGAAGAAAGACACATGCTTTTGGTGGAGTGCGGACCCCTGCAGCTTTGGTAGAAGAGACCCACGTGACTTTGGGGTGCCCCTTTGGCCATGTGGCCTGCAAAGCAGGAGAGACTTTGACTGGAACTGGGTACAAAAAACTATATTGCCAGTGGACCATAAGAGGGTACCACAGTACTTTGGATTAACTAGAGATCCTGCCTGACACAGGTGACATTACCAGCGGCCTGAAACACAGATGTGTGCTCTTTTCCTGATTCACGGTACCCAGAGTTGGGACAGAGGGAGAAGGGAGTGCTGTGTGGGTGTAGGTGTATACCCTAAAGGACTTTGATATTTTAGTGGAGGCATTAGGCCTAAATAGCATTAATAAACATTTTGTTTCCTTTTCACAAACCTCTGGCATTGAGAGATGCCTTTCCATTTGGTGGCAGACAGAAGAGCCCAGTAGATATTAGTATTCTGTCCTTGGGAGGGGCCCCTGTTGTTCTGTAGCAGTTTTTGGCATCTCTAGGTGGGCCAAATATTGCCCCCCCTCAGACCTCTCTTTCGGTAACAAAACCACCTTGTAATAAGACAACATTCATAAAAATTTAGGTAAATGTATAAATAGTACCTGATATTTATACTAAAAAGATAAATTGGATGTTAGATAAGCCAAAATGAACATGATTTTATGACTGAATTCAGCAATAAGTTGAATTCAGAAATATGTTTAATTGCATGAAAGTACAAATCATCATATTTTCACTCCATAGAATGGTAGGAAATCTTTCTTGTGTTGTATTATTTTTTTTACTTTTTCATCTTCCTCTTTTAAAAAATTTTTCCCTTTCTTGGCATTAGTTACAGAACTTGGTGATCCCTGTGGAGGCAGGACTAAGTTCTAATCATTAGGTCAAATCTTTATGATAATAACTTTCTAAAAATTAAAAAAGCACAAAATACATACATAAACATACACGTGTGCACACACACACTAAGCACATGCCTTTTGGAAGAACCATCATCTGTTGTGGTTTGTGAACTGAGAAATTATAGTGAAATCTTATGTCGTATCATTTCATCATTACCATGCTAGATTGTATCTGATGACATTATTCTGGCAAAGAGAGAAATTTATCCTAGTTTTTTGTTCTTCACAGGTCAAAACTGGAAATATTTTTATGAGACTTGAAGATCAAGCATTTGTAGTTATATTATCATGTGCATGTACATATAAGAATCACATGCAATTTCTGCATCAAATTTGTATGTTTATATTGTCACTGAAAAGTGTACCCATTGTTTATAGCTCCCAAGGAGAACCTGAATACATTGTTTTTAATTGAAAAGTATTTTTAGTATTTGGGAGTGATAGCATAAGAAAATACTCTAAAGAAAAAAATTAATATAGCAAATAAAAAGGAACATAACTATTATGATTTAATTACTGTCTAGTCTTTTTAAATATCATCTCCTGTTTTACCTGTTTAAATTAAATGCTTTAGAAAACATGTCTTTTGGTGTTAATTTGGAATTGTGTTTCTTTTTTTACATAAAGATTTAATGTATTAAAAAGAGAGGACCCAAATAAATAAAATCAGAAATGAAACAGGAGAGATTACAACTGATAACCACAGAAATACAAAGGATTGTAGAAATTACTATGAACAATATGCCAAGAAATTTGAAAATCTGGCTGAAATGGACAAATTTCTAGCAAAACATAATCTTCCAAAACTGAATGAAGAAGCAGCAGAAAGCCTGAACAGACTAATAACAGCTGATGAAATCAAAGCAATAATTAAAAAACTCCAGGCACACAAAGCCATGAACCAGGTTTCACAGGAGAATTTTACGAAACAATTCAGGAGTTAACCCCTATCCTTCTTAGACTATTACAAAAAAGTCCAAGTGAGGGAAGACTCCCAAACTCTTTTTATGAAGACAGCATCATCCTAATTTCAAAATCAGATAAAGACACAACAAAGAAAAAAAACTATACGCCAATATTACTATTGGCCTATAAGAACTTAAGCCATGACATAAGAACTTAGACACTAAAATCCTCAACAAAATA